TCTATCCTGGTCCGCACTAAGGCAGGTGAGTATTACGTTAGTGTTCCGTGAGGCTTGTCTGGCGATGCAGTGGAGTTGGCGTGCTTAAGGAGGGTTTGACAAGACTAATCTATTTGATAGACTAACTTGTGACAATCTTGTTAAGTAAAGATACTAGTAAGAAAGTACAATTTGAGTTGACCACAACGAGAGTAATAATGAAATCCATCCATCCTTATATCCTCATTGCTTCCAGTCCTGCCATCCCGTCCATCCCATCTTGGCGGGAGGTCTGGGATGGCGCTGCCATCCCTTTATGCACTGCCATCCCGGATGGCCAGCCTTGGCGGGATGGCACATCACGTGACTCCGAGCCCCGCAATGTCCATTACCTTTTGACGTGGACGTCCCTAGGCTCGCAGCCATCTCGTCATTTGTCAAGGAAAGAATCCTTCTTGTTACTTGTAACACTAGTTAGCGTTGCTATTTATAGTAAGAAATATAGATAGATTATTTACTATAAAAGCTGCCTTTTAGCTTCTATTTAGTCTAATTAGGTGATTTAGTATTATATACTCTTAGAAGCGTCTTATTATAGTTTACCTAGTTATCCTAGGTTAATTAACTTTATTTAACTAGAAAGTTACTACCTATATTAGAGCGACTTTATTTATTACTAATACAAAGTCTATAGCTACTAATCTAAACTAAGTAGTGTTAGGTATATTAAGTATTTCTGCCTTAGTTATAGCTGGATTATACTTAGCTAGCTAGATATTCTAGCTATTTACTAATTATAGTAGTTTAAGAGCGTTGTAATATTACTATCGCGCTTACTCTTATTCTACTTTATTAGTTATACTTATCTAAGCACGAAGGTTTATAATCTAGTCACGGACTAACTAGTCTAGTTAATAGTAGCTTTACTATAGATAGTCCACAACTGTGGATTAGATAAAGGCTGTAATATGCTAGATATTTACTTTCTTAGCTTTATATCTAGCATAGGCTACTTTATATCTATCTATTTACAGCTTATAGCACTTAAGATTGTCCTTATATACTTAAAGTCCTACTATCGCTAGATTAGACGGCCTCATTAGAATATCCCCTATAGATAGTTAGGCTGATAGTGTATAGATAGAGAAATCTAGTATTTCTAGTTTAGTTAGCTCTACTTAACGCGGCGTCGCTATACTTAGATTAACCTACTTCTATATATTATAGAAGATATAACGCGCTTAAAGCTGGTTATACTATGCGCGGTAGTCGTGTTCATTACGTAGTATTACTGCTATAGTCTACTAATTAGGTTAAGTAGCTATTATTACAGATTAATTAATTAGTTAAGATAGTTATAGATTAGTAGAGGCAGTAAGACTCTTAACTATTAGACTATAAGGTGTTTTCAATTAAGAATTAATTTATATTACTATAATAAAAAGCTATAATAATTAATAGAAGAAATTAATAATATTAATTTCTCCGTCTGCTCTGTAGCAGCGCGAAGGCGCGCTGCCTTATAAGCGCTATCGCTATTATTTTTTATATTAGATAGGCGGCTAAGTATTAGCCTTATCTAGAGGTGGGCCTTAGCACTTATCTCTAATCGGCCCAGATTACAGAACCTAGTTACTTAGTTACACTTAAATACTATTACTTATCTAACAGCTATTTACTAAGCTCTCTTACTTAACTAAGTAATCTACTTAGTAAGTGAATTAGTAGAAGACCTACGGCGTTTTCTCGCGCTCTATTGGATAAGACTAATTTAAGACTTAACTTCGCGCGCGTTGCGTGGTGTCTGCGCCTTCTAGGCCGCTGCCTATTATAGTAATTATATTAGTGTCTATACTACTATATTAAGCTTTAATAGTATAGTCTATAGGTTATATAGGACTATACTAGCGCCTCTAAAGCCTACTTAGATATTCTCCTATATAATAGACTGCTTAAAAGTAGTCTTAAAGGCTAGTAGGAAGGTCTCCTTACTAATATAGTTAGTGCGGTTACGTGCTAAGCCTAAGAATATATTACTATACTTACGCTTTAAAGGCGAGAAATAAGTAACGTTAAGAGGCTGTAATAGGTAAGATAAGTATAAAGGTATATAGATAAGAATAATATTCTTCTTCTTATAGTGATTATAAGATCTAATAGAGTAGTGGCTTTTATAGCCGTTAATAATTAGTAGTTAATATCTACTTATAGTGCAGGTCTTTGTATAAGTATTAAAGTGCTCTAGCTATGTAAGAGTAAGCTAGTTATTTATCTAGCTATTAGGACTTACTTCGAGAACCTAGTTAGGAGGTAGATTCTTAAACTAAACGTTAATAAGCACCTTACCTATAAAGATAATAAAGGGGGGTAGCTAGTAACTTAACGTACTTACGCTCTAGATTATAGTAACCTACTTATGGTTACCTAGCTATATACTCTTCTTTTTACTAGAACTCTCTAAGCCTATAATAACTAACTATAATAAAATCTTACCTATTATAAAGCTAGTTTTATTAAAGTAATAGATATCGTCGTCTATAATACTCTACTTCTTCTTTATTCTCTTAATTAGATTAAACTAGCGCTAGATAGCTGCTAGGTCCTTATAGGCGGCTTACTAGTAATTATAGGGACAGCTCTAGCGCGTACAGAGCTTAGAAGTTCTCTTAACAAAGTTATTAATCTAGTTTTTACTAATAGGGTTACTCCCACGCTTATATAATAGTTTATTAGCTATTAAATGAACGTTAGCCTTTATAGGCGCAAATTCTCGCTTAGACTCTTTAAGAATACGCCTAACTATAGCCTTCTCTTCTAGCTTATTTAGGCGCTTTAAGTTCGCTTTATAGTCGCGTCGAAAGTATCTTCTAGCGCGTTAGTCTTATATTATTATTCAAGGAACGCTATAGATAGTAGTAGCATGTCTCTTACTTTTAATACGGTAGAATTTAATATTAATAAGAGTAAAGTATATATCAGCTTTAGTATAACTTTGTTAAGCTATTTGTTGTTAGAGTATCTTACGTTGTTGTTACAAAGTTAACGCGCCGGTATAAAGTACCCGACTCACTTAGGTGGCCGACTCGCTTATAAACTACGTTATACTATTAAATCTTAATATGTATTAAGCTCCGTACGTCTACTCTATTAGCTATTCTAGAGGCTCTTTAGTAGGCTTATACGCCTAGTAACATACGTAAGCTTAAAGCTTAACTAACGTTAATACGTGATTTCGTTTCGTAGCAATAAGTCTTATCGCTAACTTTAAGTATTATAGTAATTAACTAACTTAAAAAGAAGGCTAAGGTAATAATGCTCTTAGCTAAACTAATACGCGATTTGATAGCTAGTCTTAAGAAGGTAAATAAAGCCGTACTAAAGCGTAGATAGCGTAAGAAGAAGTAGATATAGAAGTAAGGAGTACTAATAAAGAGAGCTAGAGAAGATCTACTAGCTTAGCGCTAGGCTAATTAGTAGATTACTTATTAAGAGCGTTAAGAAAGAGAGTAATTAGGTATTAGCCACTAGGCTCTAGCGCGGTGTAGTAAGTGTAGAGAGACTAGCTATAATTCGCGTACATATAATAAAGATACTTTAGATAGTATTTAATCTACTACCTTAATATATATAAATTTTATCTAGTTGTAGTAGAGCTATATAGGTAGAAAGGTATGTAAAGTTAGTAGGTTGTACTATTCGCTTGTACGCGCCGCTCGCTTATAAAACATGTTAACGTATCTGTATAGTAAGTAGCTTAGTATAGCGAGTGGCTCACGGTGCTAAGACTCTACTAAAAACCACGACTATTACAGACTATTATAACGTAACTATAATAGTAAATTCAGATTATGATAAGGTATTCTACTTAGAATCTACTTCTATATCTTACTTATATATACGCGAGTTATATTCTACCTTGCTGTAGCGTCTACAGTACGTTTATAACGGCTTACCTACTTTACTATATACTCTCTTCTTTATCTTCTTTCTATTACTACGCGCCCCTAACTCTTTTAGAACTACTAATTACTCTCTTTCTTTAACTATTAGAGTTCTCTATTTTTATATCTACTTTCTTTTATACGATCTTTGTCGCGTGGCGGCTTTATTAGCTACTTTAAGCTTAGCGTTGCGCTTTTACGCTAACACTAGCTTATACGCAATAATTACAGCGCCTTTAGCTAGCTTTTTAAAGGTAACTACTATACTTAATAGAGAGCTATCTATATGTATCTAAATTCTCTACTTTACTAGCGTTAATTGCGACTCTAGTTCTAGAGTATTACTTAGGGTTTGTAATAGCTAGAGCAGATCTTCTGTAGTAAGTGGTGTTAGTATACGCAGCTTAATATTAAGCTTTAATATTACTACCTCTAGGTTATATAGAACTAATCTAGCGCCTTAAAACCCTTCTAAGATATCATTCTTTATAATAGTTTTACTATAGGCGTGTTAAAAGGCTAGAAGAAACTTAATTTTAGTTATATAGTTAATTCTTTTACGTTTTATATCTTTAGCTTAGCGCCTATATACTCTCTTTAAAGGCGAGAAATAGCCTATATTAAGCGGCTACAGTAGGTGAGAAGAGTATAGAGGTATATAGAGAGTAATAATATTTACTTTCTTATAGTATTTTTAAAACTTAAGTGAGTCATAGCTCTTATAACCGTGAAGAATAAGTAAATAATAGGCTCTAATAGTACGCTCTTTTATATACCTATTAAAGTGCTCTAACTACTTTAGGCTAAGCTAATTTATTATTTAGCTATTCTTAGAGACCCTAATAAGCTAGTCTCTAGACAGGCTATCGTTCTTATACTAGGTAGAGAGGTAGTGCTTATCTTAAAAGATAATAAAGGGTGGAATCGCCTAGCTAGCTGTGCTAATACAAACTACGCTAGTAACCTACTCTTAATTACTCTGCTATAAGAATTTCGGCTTTAGTTAACGTTTAGAGGCTATAACTACTACTAAAACGTAGTGTATATCTATTTTAAAGCTAGTCTTATTAAAATTATATATATTATCGTTCTAGATTCTATACTTAGTTTTAGTATTCTATACTAGACGGAACTAACCCTATATAAGCTTAGGATCTTTATAGAGGGCTCTTTTATAGTCGTACTTTTAAGTAAACTTTATCTTTAGCTCTAGGCGACGTTTTATAAATACTCTAGGCTAGTTTAGGCTAATAGAGTCGCGGTAGCGAGCAGCTAGCAAAGAATTAGCTAGATCTTTAATAGCAGGAAGGCGCAGTGGAAATTCTCGCGCGTTAAGGTCTGGTATATAGTATATAATTTTCTCTTTTTCTATTATAAGTAGCTTTATTAAGTTAGGCTAGATATCGCGCTAGAAACTCTTTCTAGTAAGTTAATTACTAATTAATTTTTATAGTACGTTATAAAGAGCTGTAGCGCGTCTTTAAGTTATTATCGCGTCTCGTTTAATAGCCTAAAGTGCTAGCTATAATCGAGCCTCTTTGGCAGTAAGTAAGTCGCTTTATTATTAAGACATCACGTATAATAGTCATGTAATAGTTAAAGTTAGTAGGGTCTTAGCACTATAAGCCACTCGTTATACTAAGCCACTCGCTATACAGATACGTTATCCCTATATCTTTATTACTTCTAGTTCTATTCTCTCTAGCCTCTTGTCCTAGCAAGAGGTTTAGGAGAACGTTAGTCTCTCTTTCTATAGTAGTCTTCTAGTGGCTATATCTTAGCGGGATGCTAAGTTATATAATCTCGCCCCGCGATAATTTTTCTTACCGTTAGGATCACTAGTCATTTCCTCATCATCTATCGTTATAACTAGGTAGAGCATTCTTCTTACTATTCCTTATAAAAGTTTTAAGCATAACTAAGTAAAATGTATAGAGTTAGTCTACTTACTAAAGTTACTAACCTATTATATCCTATCTCTCTATCTGCGAAAACTCTGTAGCTAATAAGAAGCTTAACACTAGAAGTTTAATATTACTTCCACCTAGGCAATACCCTTGATAGTTTTTTTGATGTCACCCCTCTTTATCTAGCCTCATGTGCACGTCGCTATAGTTAATGACATGCTATTACAAGCGAAAAAGGTGAGTGAAAACGAAGACAGCCAAAGCTGATGGACCCATGATCGCCGGGCTCTTAAAACAGTAATAAAGCGAAGCTGTAACCTTGCAAAAATCTCGTAGCTCAGCAAACTCGAGTTAACGCTGCACCCGCTTTACCATTCCCGTTCAGAATCACCATGCGCGGCGATTGAATTAGGATATCTGCGAAAATGAATCAGTCAACAACCCTCACAAGTGTCTTCGAAGCGATACGCTAGAATTTCGCAAAATAAAAGCTGGATTGGCAGGTCCGATGCAAAGACACTATGAATATAACATGTGCTTGTTGCTCCGCTCGGGATTGAAGTTGAAAGCTGCAACACTTCATTCTCTTTCTATACTGTTATTCTTACGTCCGAGTTCCTCTACTCACAAGCTGACCAGATGTCCACGATCAATTGCAAGTTGATGGATGATGGTGCAGCGTAGAGGTGACATGTGTTCCCAACCATACCAAAGCGATCTTACGACGCTCAAGATATACTTCATCGTTGTCTTACACCTTGCTCCTCTCAATGATATGTGTTCTCTCTAAAAACACGTTCTCTTGCCTTACTGTAGTTCTTTGTGATGACCTTGAGGATCCGGGCCACGCGAAGCAACCCCTTTCCTTTTTGTCTAGAAGTTGTCGGTGTGGGAAATTCTCTTGTTTTGGATTGCACTCGCGAGAATTGCAGTCGCAAGGTATGCGATCCTCAGTCACAAGGTCAAGCGGGTTGTTGCTTGAAGAGACTTTGTGCTCCACCAACATCTTGCACTTCCGCACTGGACGGTGAAGCTTCATGGCAGTGAAAGCGTCCAGCACCTCTACGAGATCACTCAGCAGGTGCTGAAGACGCCGCACTCGATGATCGGGTACTATGACGCTGATGTTTGGGTATAGTTTTCGCTCGCTTCGAATTTTTTCTTCTTCTTCCTCTAGACGCCTTCTCTTCTTCTGGTTATCGGGGCATTCTTTCAGAACGTCTTTCTCTAGTTTTCTCCCGTCGTAGGTGTCGAGGGTCTCTTTCAAAGTCTCATAACCTTGAGGATTGGTTTTCGTTGGCCATTTGTTGGTATATAGGCTCTTGAATCGGCGGTAGATAATTCGTTGAAACTGGACCTCATACCATTCGAATAGCTTGTACAACTCAGGAGAATTCGCATTTCCTGGGTCAGAGGCTGGCGCATACTTCTTCTGGAACTCGACATAACCAATTGTACGTAGTTCTCGAGGAAACTCGGTGCTATCATGGAGAACAGCTTCAGTCAAATGTTCTTGTGCAGCCAGTATGTCGCCCTCGAACCAACGCATCTCTAAGTTTTCCCTTCCATCGTAGTGCATGGAAATGAACTCATCTTGAATTTTCCAGAGAAGCTTCTTCAGCATCTCGGCTTCCTCACCATTTATATGCGCGAAGAAGTGCGTCATCTCGCGGACAATGTGAACGCCGGCAAAGTATTGGCCAAGCAGATATGATGTGAATTTGTCGGTCCAGCCGTTTCCATATGCCGCGCATCGCTCTGGGGTGTAGTTATCCTCTTCAAGAATATCGTAGAACCAGTTAGCTAGGTCCCAGGCTGCGATTATAAGGGGGACCGAGTATCGAGAAAGTGCCTTTTTGTTCGCACGGGCTTGGGTTCGTTCTTCATTCCATCCCGACATCCAAGCAGTTGCGATTGCACCTGTTATTGCAAGAATACCCGTAACGATGGCTGCGGCTGTAGTTCCATCGATCCCCATCTTCCAGTGATAGAAGCTTGAATTTTATGAGTTGTAATCTAGCTATATCACAACCTAAAGGCATATGTGTCAGTCTATGTTGAAACTTGATCGAGAGAGTAATGGCGTATACCTTAAGGGAAGCTCTTGGGGTTCTGGGTCAAAAGATAGGAGCAGCGATCAAGCAATACTTCGTGAGCTTTGGACGATGTGATAGCAACGATGAGGATCAAGACAGGTTGAGATACAGCAATGGTGAAGAGGTATTTAAGTGAATCAATCGTGATGGCTCTCGGAATGGCATCTCTACCTATAGATCACAGCTGAACATTATCGCCACTGAGAGACCGTTTCCCTCGCATGCTACTGTCGATCAACACGCTTGTTGATCTGCAGATCTGAGTCCAGATGCGCTTGCGGGTACTGCACCTAGGAATTTTCAGTCAGTATCACAATGGACAAGTCAGCTCTGGAAATCGCCCGTTCTAGAAAGCCCTCAGCCCAGGCTTGTGCGCATGAAGATCTCAATGATTCAGTGTACCAACCAATCTAGCGAGGCTAGGATACGTCCGGCTCAAATTAGTACGAGGTCGAGGCCCGCTAGTGGACGCCACGTGGGTACAATCATACATAGAGCTGTGTTACGTAGAGTTAAGCACTAATTCTTCTCTTAGCCTTATCTGTAAGGGGTGGGACGAATCCGGCCTAGCGCGCAGCTACTCGCGTCGCCCACTTAATCAAAAGGTTAGCACAAGACAATAAGCTCATATTATTATCTTAGTAGCTAGATATCCATACTTAACATCCGCGCGCCCACACATTATAGCGTCGCTCCTCAGACCGTCGTCTATTTTACTATTTAGAATATATTCATTTCAACTTAGAACAGTTTATTATATTATTTAGCTATGTTTTAGATATACTTTAGTATAGTAGTTTAAAGAGTTTTCTAACTACTACTTTGTTTAATTAAGATGGAATAAATTCGAGGAACAATTTAAGTAAATTAATAATTAAAAAGTTGAATTAACTATGATCAAGGTAATATAAGAATATATATAGTTTCATAGTCTTCTATAGTGATTATAAGTTAACTTTGTCACGGTAGGGGCTCACGAACAGAGAGCGCAGGCACGTGTACAGGTTCTATTACTATAGCTAATTAATAGGCTCTCACTATAGGTAGTATAGAGTAGAAGACAGAACGTAGCTCGAAGAGATATCTAGGATGTGGTGCTATAGTTTTGCAGAATCCGGGCGCTCGGACCCACACCCGGATTCTGTCGGCAGCTAATCAGGAAGCCCGCGCGCTAGCTACCTAGCTGGCACCGTGGCCCTAGCAGCCACCCGGGGATTTCCAGCCTCTTGCACTTAGAAACTGCTAGTCCGCTGCTATATTAGCTAGCGCTATAATAAACTTCTAATACCTATAAATATATATATTTCTACTCTAAATTAGTTATTAACTATATTTTACTTATAACGTATTTTACTACCGAGTGGCGCACTCTATTAAGCGGCGCAGTCTCCTTACTAAAATAACTTCGCAATAATAACGCGTAATATCTTAATAACTATAACCTTATAGAAGCTATACTAAAGCTGATGTTTAACTAGTAGTCTCTAAGCTTAGTAGTAATTAAGTTTAAAGTATTTAACGCGCTAAAAAAGTCTATAACGTACTATAAATAATAATATATTAAAGATATAATAGTAAGTATTTTTAACGTAACTATAAGCCTAACTATAAACCCCTAATAAAACTAGAAAAGAAAGCTATTACTAGGCGTATAATAATTAAGGCTAAGTAAGAACTACTCTATAGAAGAGATAATATACGAGATATAGCTAATAGACAACTATAAAAGCGTAGTAGAGAGAAAGTTAGTAAAAACTAAGTTAATAGATTTATCTAGCGTAATTCTAAGCTACGTACGCGCTAAAGCTATCTATATAATTACTAGTAAGCTCTCTGTAAAGACTTAGCGCTTATTAAGAGCTAGTTTAAGCTAGTTTAGAATATAAAAGTAAAGTATAGTATTATAGATAAAGATATCTATAACTTTAACAAGACTAGCTTTATTATAAGTAAGATATTATTATAGTTAGTTATTATAGGCTTAGATAAAATAAGAAAAATAAAGAAGATCTAGCTAAGTAATTATAAGTAGATTATGCTAATATAAAGCGTTGGTATAATAGGTACGTATTGTAAAGGGCTGCGCCCGTGATCTCTACTGAAGAGGATCACGTGATCTTCGACCACGTGATATACCTTCTGTACGGACACGTGATCAGAAGCGAGCAGGTATAAGAGAAGTCTGTACTTAGTTATCTTCTCTTTTTCTTATCTTTTAGCTTCTGTACGATAGGTAGAAGCATACTCGTTCGCTAGGCCTCTCCGCCCATAACACGTATATTCTAGCGTTTTTTATTTTTATAGGTAAGATTCTAATCTCTATCTAGTTTATAGAGAATCTACTACGTAATTAAGTAATCTAAGTTAGTTCTATAAGCTAGATAAATAATAATCTAGCGCTTAACTAGCTTTATTACTTTAATTTCTATATATAGTCTATAGAGACGTATAGGCTACTTGTTATTAATAGCTATAAGAGCTACTACTTAGTAGATTTCTAAGATCTCTATAAAGAGATAAAGATAATTTTTCTCTATATACCTTCTTACTTATTATACCTCTTATACCCTCTTAATATAGACTACTTCTTACTATTAAAGCGCGCGTATAGTAATACTATTTTAGTCTTAGTATATAATCATATATACTATATTAGTAAAGAAACCTTTTTACTAGTATTTAAAAAGATCTATTATAAGACTATTATACTAAAAAATATCTATAAAGAGTTTTAAGATACTAGACTTACTCTATATAATTATAACATTATTTTATTATAGCATAACGTTATACTAACGTGTTTTACAAGCGAGCGGCGCGTATAAGCGAGCGGCGCGTATAAGCGAGCGGCGCGTATAAGCGAGCGGCACACCCCACCAACTTTGCATACCTCTCTACGTATACAGCTCTACTATAACTAAATAAAATTTATGTATATTAAGGTAGTAGATTAAATACTATCTAAAGTATCTTTCTTATATGTACGCGAATTATAGCTAGTCTCTCTACACCTACTACACCGCGCTAGAGCCTGGCGGCTAACACCTAATCACTCTCCTCCTTAACGCTCTTTATAAGCAATCTGTTAATCAGCCTCGCGCTAAGCGAGTAGATCTTCTCTAGCTCCCTTTATTAACACTTCTTACTTCTGTATCCACTTCTTCTTACGCTGCCTATGCTTTATTACGGCTTCGTTCGCCTTCTTAAGACTAGCTATCCGATCGCGCATTAGCTTAGCTGAGAGTATTATTACCTTAGCCCCCTTCTTAAGCTAGTTAATTACTGCAATAATTAAAGCTAGTAATAAGTCTTAATGCCGCTAAACGCGATTACGTATTAACGTTAATTGAGCTTTAAGCTCGCGTGTGTTGCTAGGCGTACGAGCTTACTAGAGAGCCTCTAGAACAGCTAGTAGAGTAGGCGTACGGAGCTTTATATCAAGCCTTAATAGAATAGCATCTAGCTAGAGAGGAATAAGGCCTGCGCCGCAGAAGGTAGAGCAGATATTAGCTAGCGTGAAGGATCGATCGAACGCTATCTTAAACGCTAGTAGAAACTTAAGCTTAGTAATATGGTTAATATAATAGCAGATTAAGCTCTCTACCTCGCGGCTATACGCGCGCTTTAACGGCGAGAAGCAGCTAACGTTAAGTAGCTAAAGTAGGTAAGATAAGTGAGGTAGTATATAGAGAGTGTAGATATTGTTCTCCTTATAGAACTCTTAGAACTTAAGAGACTGGTAGCTCTTATAGCCGTTAAGAATAAGTAGACAACGTGTGTTAATAACGCGAGTCTTCGTATGGGCGTTGAAGTGCTTTATCTATACAACGCCTAGCTTATTATTTATCTAACTATTATCGCTGACTGCGATCGCCTAGTCGCGTGGGATCTCTATCTCCTCGTACTAAGCAGATAGGTGATACTAGCTAGCGAAGATAAGGAATAGTAGGATTAACCAGCTAGCTGTAACGATGTTACAACTTCGCCATGTATCGGACCAATCCCAGAGCCGGATCGGAGGTAGTACTCGCCGCCCTCTTCATCAACCACTCGTTGTGAGGTCGGATCCGATTCGGATCCGACTAAGATAAGTATATAAGGAGACACTCCCTGTAGCTAGCTCTGTAGACTTTTGATATCCTTTCGTACAAGGCCTATAGGTGTCTATTCGAATTAAGGCTCGTTTGATGTCCCACGCACTCCCATATGCCTCTGAGTGACACTACCGCCGATACTGATCCGAGTAGTCTTGCCTGCGCCGTTACATTATATCAAAAGTCTCGTCCCAGCCGGTGACGGCTTCAAAACAATATCGCAGCTGTTTGTTCAGACTACGTTCAACCTCAAGTTATCCGGAACCGATCCGGATACTTACACCGTCACATCTGACATTCACCTAGGCAGGATCCCATTGATCTCCTGCC